GGCCCCGTTGGCTTTGCGTGTCCCCGTCTCCCCCCCCTGCCACTGTGCACGTGGGTTTCCAGTTCACCTGGAAGGTGATTTATTGTCTGTGCTGCGGGTGTGGATGTCTTGGCTTGAAGCCTTTAAGTGCCAGGACTCTCTTGGTAGCAGTGGTGCTAACGACGTCTGTCTGGAAATCTGTGCATCTCCGCCGGTAGCTGGTTCTCAAACCTTTACGTGCTAAAAAGAGGCGCTCAACAGTGCAACTTCAAGTAGGAATAGAGAACAGTTATTTTCCTGTAATCCTAAATGGCTTCAGTTATATTGGATGTGATAGTCAGGGCGAATCTTTTGAAGTTTTGGGTTGGTTTTGTTTGGTTTTTTTAACAGACTCAATTTCATCTCACAAGTTTGTGCGTGAGGGTTGGAAGCAGGTGACGGCATTGAGGCAGTTGCTCTCACGGCGCGGCCTCTGTAGCTCGGTTGACCTCAGTAGTGTTAGTAGTGAAGCAGTAAGAATTCAATGCTTCTTGGGAAGACTAAAGAGTTGTGGCCTGAGCTGTTGGCAAGTCTGTGCCGTACAGGAAGGCCTGGGAAGTCCAGCAAACGCCGGCTACAAAAGACAACGCTCCGCTTGTATTTGGGTGTGTATTGCACGCCGTACCTTCAGAGAGGGGCTCCAAGGATTCATCCCCCCTCAGAGGGGAGCGGAGGAGGTGGTGGTGTGTTTATACGTTGCTTTATGGGCGCATTTCTCCGCACTGCGCGCTGATTGCAGGCTTGCCTGCCGCGCTCCAGGTGTCCCTGTGCCTTCTCCCCCTAAAACATGCTCCCTAGCCAGTAGCCGAAGTGAACGCTTGCCTGCTTTCAGGTCCTTCCAAGGAAGGTGGAACAGCTCGTTTGGCGAAGAAGGAAAGGACAGCTGGAGTGAGGAGGATGAGCTCTTCTCAGATGCGGGTAAGAACACAGCCCCTGGTGCAGCTGTTAAATGATGATAATCCGGCCTTTGGGGCTCATTCGCAGGTGTCTTGCTACCTTCTGTGCGACTGAATTTTGCAACCAGAAATCCTAAAAGCCCAAGAAAATTGGTAGCTGTCCAACTCCGAGATACTTGTTCTTTGTATCTCTGACCCGAAATGCATGCCAAAAACTCCTGTTCGAGTTTCAGACTAAGCACGCTTAGCTTACAGGATGTAGATACTGGAAACACAGCTCTTTCCCCCTTCCTGCTTTAGTGCCATGAAATAAAGGGTAAGTTCACCTCTTCAGCCCGATCAGTTTTCCAGTCCAGTTCCCTTTGCAGCCAGATACGCAGCTTAGCTGGTGAAAGGACTGGACAATGGATGTCTAATTCCAGCCTCAATGTACAGTGTAACCACGTGCCCCTGTTCTTGACGTATTGGCTAGTTTAAAACAAAACAGATCTTATTGGAAAGCTTTCAGATAAAGCAATTGGGGCTTGAAACAGAAAGGCTGTGCACGCCATAGCTGCAGAAAAGGGAGGGATAAAGGAATTTGGTTTATTGTCTGTCGTAGGCTGACCGCGTAGTTCAGCGGTTAAGCCCACAGCAGTCTCCCGAGGAGGTCTGTACCTCCCGCGTTCTGGTGAAATGCAATCCTCTTGCCTTGTTTTTCAGCATCGTTTGGGACAGCCAGCCACAACACTACGGTCTTCGGTTCCAAGAAACAGGTAACGTGGAGCCCTTAAGTCCTTTCCCTAAGGCCTGAAATCAGAACATGTAGAAGAGCAAACTGTCAGCCAGTTTGCAATGTGTGGGTGAGGATTGCTGCTCAGACCGCTTCCTCAGCAGCCTGCTGCGAGCCGCAGCAGGGCGAGCTGCTGCTGCGCGTTAAATGAAGCACCGGAGGCTGGCTTGGAAAGTGATGCTTCCTGAGGCCGGTGCTCGCAACGTCCAGGCTTGATCCGAGGTGTGCAGGTCTTTGCGTTCACAGGGCTGGCCGGAGTTTCTCCATTAAAACAGCCCGGTTTGGCAGTTGGCTAAAGCTCCGTGCCCCCCACCCACCAGGCGCTGGGTACGTGTGTGAAGTCCCCTTTCCTTGATGCGCGTGGCTCAGAGCTAGGTTTGCCGAGTTCCCTGCGCGCTGGAGAGGTTCAGCGCCGCGTTCGGGTGAGGGACGCGCGTACGGCAGCTGTTCCCTGGGCACTCTCTTGCCCTCGCTTGTCGGAAGATCGCTTCTGGCTCTCGTGCTGCTGTGCACCGCGTAGCACTTTGGTCCTGGTAACTGCTTTCCTCAATTATTTCCTATTTTGCCTCCAGTACAAAAATTGAGGGGACCTGCAGACCTGGACTTGCAGATTATTTTTTTTAAACACTCCACTCACATGCTGTTAGGCAGGGCGTAGGCAGCGAGTGCTTTGTATCTCTGATGCTTGCTGTCACATCAGAGCGTCATTCCTCTTTTACATGGTCAGTATTGTGCTTTGGGAAGCAGAACCGCTCCCGAGCTTGTGCTGGAGCTCAGCGCTTCTCTCATTTGTAACAGTTACGAGAGCCCGTCTACAGATGATTGAGCGTTGTGTGTGCTGTTGGCAGGACATCTCTGCCTGTCCTCCGTGCTGCTAGCACAGAGATAAAGGGAAGCTAGCACGCTAGGAAGGAGAAATAGGTTCTTTGCCAAATGCAACCCCTCCCTGAAACTGCACTCACAGAGCGCTGCTCACCTGCTCTTTTGCAGAAATGGACAATACAGGAGAGCGAGTGGATCAAAGAGGGCGTGAAGAAGTTTGGAGAAGGGAGATGGAAGGCCATTTGCCAGAAATACCCCTTCCAGAACCGCACGGCAGTGATGATCAAGGATCGCTGGCGGACCATGAAAAAGCTGGGAATCCTCTAAAGTTGGGAGCCACGAGACCTTCAGTGCCAAAACCTTCTTATTTTTCTTTTGAAAGACGGACCGGAGCCATGGTAGCGGGGAGGCTGCTGTCTCGTCCCTGCTGCGTGTTGGGGCCGGCGTGGTGAGCCCCCCGGCTCGTGGTACCCGAGACCGCTGCGGCAGACGGAAACCACGTCTGACGAGAACCGAGGAGCCTCGTGTCTCGAGTCGTAGCTGCAAGGTTTAGGTCTTCTGCAGTCAGCAGAAGCTGCGCAGCCTGATTGCGCGTGCTCGGAAATGACCTGGATTGGGACTTCCTTTTCCACCTGACAGCTGCAGCCTTTGTAGGATGAATCGCAACCTGATGGGCTGCCGAAATGACAGTTTTCTCTGTTCGGATGCTGTCAAGGGCAGGATAATCCCGTCAGTGGCTATTTTTATGTGTTTTAATTGTCTAAACTGTGGATCGCTTGTTTCATCTGTTTGCACTCCATCCCCTGTGGGGGAGAGGCAGCACGTGGTCCCAGAGCTTCTGGGGAGAAGAGGTTTAGGCAAGGTGATCTGCTTTGATTTTTTTTTTTTCCCCCCACCCCAACATTTCTTTTCTGGTTTGCACATGCGTAGTCTGCGAGTGGGCATTTTCCACCCTCAGCTTTGAGGCTTTAAAAACATTTTTTTTTGTTTTGGTACTTAAATGTTGGTTGTTCCCATGTTAAAAGTTGCCCGCGATCCCTGCAAGCGTATGAGCTCCGAGGGCGCTGCGCGTTTCCTGCCTTCAGGTGCCAAAGCTGGAGTCCATGTCCGAGAGGTCTTCTGTAAAATAAAGTTCCTTTCTTGTTGGACATCAAGAGTTGTAATGAGCGTGAACTTGTAGCCCGTGGGTGGAAACGCGGCAGTTGGGTGCTGCCTGCTCGCTGCCCGACCCCAGGGCCGTGGGGCTCCCTGTCCGCCTCCGGAGCCGGCTGGGGCTGCGGGTGTTGCGTCGGCAGCTGCTTGGGGTGCAGCAGCGACGCCCTGGGGGTCCGAGGTGCTGCCGCATCCGTGCAGGCACGAAGCAGAAGCTTCTGGGCTGGATTTCTGTTGAAATCGAGGGCAGGGGGTGGGTGGGGGCATTTCCACCTCTCTTGGCCATGTTCCTGCAGAGCCAGGGCTGGGGAGAAGTCTGTTTGGAAACACCTGCTTCCCCTCCGTCCTTCAGCAGCAGCTGCTGGAAGGAGCTGCCTGCCTCACCTGGCTGCGGCTGTGCCTTTCCCTCCCCTTCTGCTTGTCGGAGCAGCCCTGGGTAGACAGGAGCACCCCGTTCTGGGGCGGAGAGGCTTGAAGTGAGCCGCAAGCTGGACCCGTAATCGCCAGCGTCAGGCAGCACCCGTTGGTCGTGCCCAGTTGGGAAGAGACGTGTTCTCTGCGCGGGGCTGAGCCCGTTCTTCCCTTCTCTGGGCTGGGCTCTTGCCCCTGGCTGCGCCAGGAGGGTGTCACAGCCCAAGGCTTTACTCTAGGAACCTGGAAGTTTCTTGGAGTAAAAACACTTTTCCTACTTAATTTGCTTGGTCAGAAGACCCGGCCTGGCAGAGCGTTGGGAGCGGGGCTGGCTGGGGACCGGGGTGCTGCTTCACAGCAGCCTCGGCCTCTGCGGGCGAGCTCTAACGTGGGCGAGCTCTAACGTGGGCGAGCTGCACCGGCTCCCGCTCTGCCCCGAGATCACCTTGAGGAGCGGAGCCCATGCTGTGCTCCTGACCCCAGCCCCGGCGCTGCCGAGTGCCGCTGTGGAGCAGTTAATGATTACCCCTGCCACCTCGGGTCCCCGCTCCTGCCCTGCTCCGGCAGGAGGGAGCACCGGAGGCTGGGAAGCAGGATGCTGCTGCTGGTGCTCCTGGCGCTGCTGGGCCCCGCCGGCTGCCCCAGGACCGAGCCCCTGAGCGAGTCTGGCCAGGAGCCCCTCTTCCGCGGGGCAGATCGCTACGATTTTGCCATCGTCATCCCCGCCGGCACCGTGGAGTGCTTCTGGCAGTTCGCGCACCACAGCGGCAACTTCTTCTTCAGCTACGAGGTGAGTGTTGCGGGACGCGTCCCAGGAAGCTGTCGGCGCGGTGCGGCTGCCGGCGGGGTCGGGGAATGGCCGTGCTGGATCGGTCCTGCCCGGCGGCTCCGCAGCTGGTGCCGGCTGCCTCCTCCAAGGGTGCTGCAGGTCCTGCAGCCGGCAGTTCTCTGTCACCCCGGTCCTGCAACCAGGCTTACGGGTGGAAGGAGACCCTGTGGGATGAAGACCACATGCGGGATGAGCTCCAGACCCGCCGCCCCCAGGGCGGAGGCGGTTTGCCTTGTGAGGGAAAGGCCCTCGGCTGAGACAGGGAATGGTTGCAGTCACTTGGATGCTTCATCTCAGGGACCGTGCTTTTTTAGGCAATTTCCACCATCAATCCCATTTATTTTTTGTAAATACCAGTTTAAAGCCATAAAGCGGTGCTGCGAGCCCCGGCCATGGTGCCGGAGCACCCGGAGCTCGCTCACGGGGAGCTGCAGGGCGTCCCGGCACGGCGGGGAGCTCTGCCCTTCGCTGGGCCAGCTGGAGGCTGTTGCGTGGCCCTCGGCTCTCTGAGCCACGGCTGGAAGGCACGCCAAAGGTCTCGGGCACAGCCCTATCTGCTTCTCCCCGTGCTCCGTCCCCTTCCCACAGGGAAAACTGTGGCCCTTTTATCTCCTGTTTACACTGGGTTGAGGGAGAGCCCGGGCACGGCCGTGCCTGGTGCTGGCAGCTTCCCCCCGGCTCTGTGCTTGGCAGAGCAGCCCTGCGGGAGCACGGCACGGCCCTGGGGCTCGGCCCAGCTCCATCTCCCAACGCTCTGGCAGCTGGCAGCATCGGCAGCACCGGCAGCACCCAACCCAGGCGGCAGGGAGCCGGGCTGGGCACACGGGGTGGGAGACGCGGAGTCTGCGCAGCACCGTGAGCAGGCGTTGGGAACCGTGGGGTTCATTACCCAGGGCTGCGGGTTGCGGGGTTTTACCTTTACGTGTAGCTGGCAGCTCGCTGGAGGCTGTTCCTGGCCTCAGCTCACAGTGACGAAGGGCGCAGCTCCCCACAGACCCCAAACTGACCCCCAGTAGAGGCGCTGGGTCCGTGCCCTGCACCCGAGGGCTCCCGTGGGCTCCCATCGGTCTCCTGGGTGCAGAGTCAGGCCCACGAACGCCCCTCAGGTGTTGCCTGTCTCCAGGTCCAGCGGGCGACGGGGATCGCCAACAGCAGGACCATCCTGGCCACGGCAAGCGACCCCAGCGGCTTCCAGCTCAGCGCTTCCCAGCACGTGCGAGGACAGATCAACTTCCTCACCAAGGAGACAGGTCCCTGCCCCCCCGGTCCCTGCCCGGCCCAGCTGCAGGCAGGCAAGCAGGAGCAGCAGCTCCGAGCCTGCCCGGACGCCCAGCGCTTCCCAGAGCCTTGATGGGTCAGATCAGGCCTCCCTCCCTAGCGGGGAGGACGAGGATCGAGCGCTGGGGCCGGGTCTGCCTGGCAGCGGCTCTTCTACTCAAGGAACAACGGTCCCCGTTTCTCTCTGCAGGTTTTTACCAGCTGTGCCTGGACAACCAGCAAAACCACTTCGGCTTCATGCAGGTGTATCTCAACTTCGGTGTCTACTACGAAGGCTTTGACGTGGAAAACAAAGACCCGGGAGAGGAGAAAGAGCTGAACGACACCCTGGGGGCCATCGAGGTGAGCGTCAAGGCGACCACAGGGTGCCCCGACGCGGCGGGGACGGGCACGTCCCCCCAGGGGAACCGAGAAGGGCATTTGCCGTTGGCTGAGCTGCGGCTTAATTGAACGCTGAGCCCAGCGGGCAGCTCTGGGAGCGGCTCTGCCTGCCCCAGGCTCTGCCGCAGCCCCGCTGCCGAGCGCCCGCCTTTCCCGCAGGTCAGCATCCGCAAGCTGCAGCTCAACATCTTCCACATGTGGCGGTTCTACAACTTCGCCCGGATGCGGAAAGGGGCCGACTCCTTCCTCCTGGAGTCCAACTACAACTACGTCAACTGGTGGTCGATGGCTCAGAGCTGCATCATCGTCCTCTCCGGGGTCCTGCAGCTCTATTTCTTGAAGCGCCTTTTCAACGTGCAAACCTCCAGCAGGCAGAAGTGCTAGCAGCGCCCGGAACCGCGGGCAGGACCGCTGCCCGCAGCGCTCGGTAACCGAGCCGCCACTCTGCCCCTTCGCAGAGCAGGAGGGAAGGCCGCATCCTGCCTAGGGGAGGAGGAAGGAGAGTTCCCCCCGCTCCTGCCTCTGGCTGCAGCCCTGCCTCGGCTGAAATCACCCCGACAGAAGAAAAACGCGACGCGATCGCCTGAGCTTCATGTGCCGGGTCGGTTTGTTACATCCCTGCCCATCGTTACCGTGTCCCAACGCGCCTTTTCTGCCAGAAACCCAATAAAGGAACCCCTGGCACACGCTCTGGGGAGGGATCGCAGCCGCCTGCCTGCCGTCCGTCCTCTGAAAGCCTGGCTGAAGCAAGTCCTGCCTCGCGGTCCTGCCCCATCCCTGCCCTCCCGCCCTGCCAGCCCAGCCCCGGGCCGCGAGCCTCCCCCCAGCCTTGTCTGCCAAGCCCAACGCAGTGCGTCTCCCCTCTGGAGTCGCACCCCGGTGCGTCGCGCCGCCCCAGGCAGGCAGAGACCCGCAGCGACCCCCCCGAGGCTCCGCAGTAGGCAACAGGCACCGTAGGAGAAGGAACGGGCTTTATGTGACGGCAGGGGCAGGGGCGGGGGGGGGGGGACCGCGCGCCGCTGCTGCGCCGAGGGTGCAGGCCGAGGTCCATTCTACCCAGAAACGCTCGAGGTCCCTTAGGTCAGCGTGTCCTCGCTCCGCACGTACTCCCCGACGTCGGCCTGGTGGAACACGACGATGGCCATGGGGTCCACCTTCCGGCACTCCTGGGTGGACTTGGCGGCCACCCCAAAGCCCTGCGGGGGGACGAAGGAAAGGTGAGAGAGAGTTTTCCCTGCGCCCCAGCCCTGGAAAACGCGGGGGCTGCGCCAGGGGGCTCACCAGCGGGACGTCGGCCATGGAGTACACCACCACGCCCTGGTACTGCGCCGTGTTCTCGGTGATGCGGCCCAGGCCCGACTTCAGGACGTGGTTGCCGTAGAGGAAGGACTGCTCCGAGCCGGGCTTCACCCACACCTTGTACTGCAAGAGAGAGGCAGGGCGGTGAGGGGCCGGGGGGCCCGGCGGGGCGCAGGGGGGGCCGCTCCCACCTTGGCGTAGGGCGCGAGGAACTCCAGGGCCGTCACGCTCAGCCGGAACTTCTGCGTCTTGGTGAACTTCCCGAAGCAGGTGCCCAGCGACACCAGGCTGTCCCGGGGGGCGCTG